CTGAGCTCATGCAGTTAGCTTCTTTAGCTTGTTTAGCTACTTCACAGCTTGTACACGTGACAAACCAGCTCCTCTCTTCTCTGACACTTCTGCCTTTTCATCACCTGCACAGCTTTTATCTTTGCTTGATACTTTATTTTTTTCGCATCACCTGCTGCTAGCTTTCTATTTCAATCCGCGCTGGCTACGAACTACCTGATTACTTTCAGTTGTGATGGCAACCGCTACCTGCTGCGACTGATTTCACCGCCTGTGTCACCGCAGCAAACATGACCTGTTGTATGTTTGTGTACAAGCATCCAGGCTATTAACGCTAGTGGGAAACAAAACAAGAGCAGGCAACCAGGAAAACTCCTCCTGACCAGAACCGCGTACTCCGCCTTTAAGTTTCACGCATGTGGCTTTCCTCTTTCTTTTAAAGCTCCCTAAACATGTCTGAAGAAAGTATGAAAAAAAGGACCGATAACTTCTTTTTGCACCGTGTTTCTTGTCATTGTGTCTGCAAAGTGCATCAAAAGATTTAATGAACGCATCCGTCACTGGAAAACAGACCAACATGAAAGGGAAGCGCACTGCACACCGTGGTCCCTCAAATTTTAATTATCTCTCCAGAGAGCGTATTTTATGCCTATAAAAATATATTTGACCTCCAGTGATTTCCGAACACATTAATGTGCTTCACATGTAGATATCGCTGTCACGGTTAAACACAGGATCCGCGGTAGCGCCGATAAATCGTGGCTATTTTCGGCGTGGGCTGCCAGTGACTGGAGGACGCGCCGCATCACCATCATCATCACAGTCTCGTGCAGAACGTATGAGAAAGCCCTGAGGGAAACAGTGGCTCTGACACAACAAAGGTATTTTCAAGCCTTGCTTTTCATTCTTTCGGAGAGATGCTCTTTCTTCTGAACTGTAAAATGATCAAATAAGTCACTGCTTGTAGCTCAGTACCACAGCTAGGAAAAAAAATGACACAAAAATTTTTCCTGTTTATGTTTCCAGCCTGAAACTTGATGTGTGTGTTCAAGGGGAGCAAATCTGTGTTTTTGTATTTGTATTCCAGCAAGTACAGGGAAACCCTTTTTACTGTGGCCGGCTGAGGACTTCCGCAGTCCATCATCAATGAAGGAACAAGTCATGCAAGAGCCTGAACACGGGGCAACGAGTGGCGCCGGGTTGCAGACGGGCAGCGGTGAGAGGCAGGGCGGATGGGGGGGCGGATGGAGGGGTGGTGGTGGTGAAAGCGTGGTGGGGATGCAGACACCAGCCGGCAGTACACAGAGAATCACTATGGTGACAGCAATCAGGGGGCTCATGGGAGCCAGGCTGGGTCAGAGAGGAAGGCTTGAGAGGCAGCTGACTGAGGAATCAGCCCTCACTCTGGATGATTCGACTGACAGCTCCCCCCAGGGCTGCGCCGGACCAGCCGTCCCCAGAGACCGCCGGCTTTACAGAACAGGGATGTGGCTAGCAGCCTTTTTCCAAGGGACAACAACATAACAAAAAAAAAGAAGCAGTGGAAGACAATGCACCATGCTAGCAACACACATCCTGTAAAATAATGTAAAACCTCCTGGATGAGTCTCTCTCTACCTTTTCCTTTGCGCCTCACCCCTTCTCTCATCCATTCATCACTCCTCTTCCCTTTATTTGTCACTTTCTCCATCCCTCTCTTCCTCCCTTCCTCTCTCTCTCCACTGAGCTTGGACGCCGTCCACCTAAACAGATGGTCCGGTGTCAATAGGCTGCTACTAACTGGCCGCTCTCCTCGCTCTGATCCAACACAGCAAAAAAAAAAAACACCAGCACATTTTAAAGCACTGGGAATATAAATCCTGCGCCGCGCTGATGGAGTCATGAGTAAGACGCCGCTAAGATTTGATTAGTCAACATGATCACTTCTTTTTTTCTTCGCCCCTGAAACGCACACACACGCGTTCAATTTCAAGACTTTATTGCATTACAGCAGTTACAGTATCCCGCGAGGTGTAGTGAATCATACTCTTGGCTCACATCTCCCTGATCTTTCTCTTTTTTTTTTTTTTTTGGGCTTGTTTGTTCCATAGTTGGGATCTCCTGCCATGCCTGTGACTAGCTGCTTCGTCATCTCGGTGCCACACCCTGCCGAGGAAAAGGACAACCACCTGACCTTGATGCTCACATCAGCCCAACCCTTCCCGTCGGTTACATATTACCCAGAGAGGTACCCTTAATTTACACTCTCTTCAGGGTCCCTGGAGAGCGTGCTGGGGTTTTTTTTTATTATTATTACTACATGCCATTACTTCCCTGTCGCACAAAAACACCTCCAACAAAGTGCTAAACGGTTGCCCTTTAATTTAAATTCTTTATAGAATCAAACGACGTCCCTCCTCGCGCCTCCTTAAACCGTCCTAATCCTGGCCGTGCATTCGATGCCGCAAATGTTCCTTCACATGTTAGAGACACACCAGAATAGAGGGAAATGTGAAAGATAGGAGTGGCACGGAGAGGAGGAGGAGGAGGAGGAGGAGGAGGATGATGGGGACGTGGCGGCGATGGTGTCGCTGCTGCTGCTTGCTGCTAGAACAGTCTTCCCACCTTGTGGTAGCACGGTGAACTGTAAGCTGCTTGGATGCAATAAGGGGGGAAGAGAGAGTGATGCATTGAGGGATGGAGTGAGAGAGAGAGAGAGAGAGAGAGGAAGGGAGGGAGAGCCAGAGGGAGCGATACAGAGAGAGAGAGAGAGAGAGAGAGGGAGCAAAAGGGAGGGGAGTTTAAACTAAGTGCTATGTTTTGGGACAGGCTAATCTGCTAGCGAGCAGTGTGAGGATCGGAGCGTATTGTGTGAGCCAGTGTGCGGGGGACAGATAAGGGAGCCAGCCAGCCCGCCAGCCCGACCCACCAACCCACCGACTGCCTGACTGCTTGTTTTAATGTGCTGACTCTGGGGAGATTTTTTTTTTTTTTTAAAGAAAAGACAGCATATTGACTCCTTTAGCCGTGCGCGGAGACCTTGGGCACAAAAACGCCACCACCACCACCACCACCACCACCGCTACTACTACTACTACTACTACAGCCACAGCCAGCAGAAGTGCATCAGCAGCCGAGAAAGAGAAAAAAAAAAGAGAGAGAGAGCGAGACAGAGAGAGAGAATAGAGGACTGAGAAACCACAACTCCACAATCAGAAAATTAAACGAGGATTCTTTTTTTTTTTTTTTTTTCCCCCAATTGATTTTTTCTTTATTTTTTATTTTTTTCTTCCTTCCTGTTGACGGGACTGACTCCCAAAAGAGAGGAACAAAAAAACAACAACAAAAACAACAACTGAAGAGAATCTGAACATTAAAAACAGGACAGAACAACACGCAGCGAACATGTTCGAAATAAGCCGAACACTCAACGCCGCTTTGTTGAGCAATGAGGTAAAGACGTTTGGATTTTTCCTTCTCCACACCTCACCTGTGTGTGTGTGTGTGTGTGTGTGTGTGTGTGCTGCCAACCATTCTGTCATGTGTTGTGTGTCCGTGTGTGTTTCGCGACAGAGGAGGGTGATTGATAGCGGCGGCTGTTTATTATATTTTCCCCAGCATGATGCTCGGTGTAGGGAAAGAGCTGCTTCTCATCCTGCCTCGTAGGAAGACTTTACATCCCGTCTATTGTGGCCGAACCGGGCCGGCCGTCGAAACCCATCCAACGCAGGCTTGCTTGTGAAATTGCCCACCTGGGGGCTACGATTGTGCCTTCGTGTGCACGTACAGTATGTCCGCGAGCGTTCAAACATGCGAGTGCAAAGTGTTCTGTAATCCCCCTCCCCTCCGTTCTTCATGTTTTACCCCCCTCTACTCCCCTCTTCTGTCCTTTACCATTCTCACCGTCCTTCCTACCTGCTGTTATCTGCTCTCCCTCCCTTCCCTCTCTCTCTCTCTCTCTCTCTCTCTCTCTCTCGCCCCCTCCCTCCCTCCCTCCCTCTCTCTCTCCGTCCTCGCCTCCCGTGTCTCCCCCGCGTACGAGTGGTGTGTGTTCTGTGAGCAGCATCTCAAGATGATGGCGAGGTACGGGCAGCTCTCGGGACTAGCAGCCAGTGGCGTGGGCTCCGTCCCCGAGACGCACTCGCCGCTATTTCCCAGGGATCTCCTGTCATCGCCCGCCCAGATGGGCTACAGGTCGCCCCTGGTAAGAGGATAGACAGACCGATATATATTATGTACATATTTATATATATATATACATCTCCATCCTTCTTAACACCAGAAATGGCAAAAAAAAAAAAAAGCGTGTGTGGAAACTGTGCGTTGAGGAAAAGGGCAGAAAGAGAGCAAATCAATTGTGGGATTCTGCCTGTATCCCCAATGGATGGCATTAGTAAATATTTACATTGTTATGTTTGTTCAATTACCAACGCCTACTCCGTCTTTAGCCTCTGCCAGTCAGGCTGCTATCAAGGGAATTTGAGGTGTTTGTGTGTGTGTGTGTGTGCACCAGGCGTGTGTGTGTTATTCGTGTGAGTAATGTATTTTTTTTTTTTTGCTGAATTTTGTCAACCGCGTTGGGTGCTGCGGGATTTATTTTTAATGCTCGCTCCTTGCTGGTGAATTTAATTTCCTCGTGAATTAACAGACGAGGCATCACGCTGCTTCCCGGTGCTGAACTTTCTAAAACAGCCTCGAAAAGGGAAGAAGAAATAAAAAAAAGAAGCATTTCTTCGACTCGCTCAGGAGATGCACATTTAAGATGGCAAATTTCAAGTTGAGCGTCGACTCAATTAAATCTGAGAATTCGTGGTAGCACAGAGAGCTGCAGCACTGGAGATAGACAGGAGGTTTTTTTTTTATTTTTTTAGCACCGGAGTCAACATTACTCTGCAATTTACATAGAAAAGATTACTTCAGGGGGAAGGGAATGAGAGAGAAAAAGAGGCATGAGAAAACCCTGAGCGTTTAGGCAAAAGCGTTGTAAGAAAATCCCTGACTCGCCGCATTAAAGCGACATGAAGCTGTGGGTGTCTAATCTGCTGTGGGCTCTTCATTGGTTCGGCTCCCCTTCAAACTGGCTCAGATCCACACCCCAGAGCCTCCCGGAAGCCTTCATAACCCACTGTCATGCTGCTGACTGTACCCAAGGGTTTCCGTCAAGTGTATGCAAATGCACGGCGGGGATAAGCAGCGAAATGCGTCCGTGAGGAGTTGGGCTTCAAAAAAAAAAAATCAAAAAATGTCGTGCAGTTTTTTTTTTATTTTTGTGTGCTTTGAATTCTTGTGCGAGCTCAAAGACGCCCGTCCAGTGTTTTGTTGTTCTTCTCCAGAACACAAAGCCCGGCGTGTCCCACTGCCCGTCCACTCTCACCACTCTGTGTTATCTGCTGTTTGCATAAAGCTGCTGGACCGTGAAGTATTTGTTGAAACCAGTGGAACTAATTGGCTGAATTTATTACGTAAACACGATTGACACGTTAACATGTTCTGATGGATCTCCTTCTGAGCTGATTGAGTCGGTTCCAGGGTGGAGCACCAGGATCAGGCGACTAGTTGCACGTTAACAGCACCAGAGTATAAATAAAGTGCAGCGTTGATAATAAAAATAATGTTGAGAAAAGTGCAAACAAAATGAATCCAAAGCGGCGTTATTGACGACTGGGAGACGTTTGGTTTGTGGCTTCGGTGACGGTTTGTTTAGAGGGATTTTGCACATTTGTCATCAGTGTGTCGCTGGTGATGAGGCATGTTCCTGTGAGCATGTGTGTGTGCACATCGTTGTGTATTTGTTGGAAAACGTGTGTGTGTGTCTGTACATGATTACCCTGGTTAAAAAAGACCATCGTTATAGTGATTAATGGTGCCTTCATTAAGCACAGCGAGATCATTTGCATACATTAGATAAATGTGCTGGAAGATTCTGGTGGCTTTGGTGTGTAAAGCCTCAAAAACAAGCTTTTTTTTTTTTGGTGCTATCAAAAAGAAAAATTCTACAGCCGCAGCGAAACGTCGCAGCATTTATCCAAAAAAAACAAGTAAATTCATTGTTTGATAAAACGCTCGCAATCACGCTAACAGACGCTGCATCGTATTTACCTTTGTCGTTTTCTAACACTTCTACACAACTGCAGCAAAGTTTAGCGTCACTTCCCCCCACCGACAACACCGTGCATCCCTCTGTGTGTGTGTGTGTCACGTCTTTGTCTGTTTGTGTGTTTGTGTGTCGGATGCTATAGGACGCTACGCTCAAAAGGGCGTTCTGCGAATTCAAACCTGTACCTATTAGCAGCCGGGCGAGCGGAGAAGCACGCAATTAACGAAAAATTAAACTGAAAGCGTCCGCAGCGGTAGCATGACCAGGACGGCCGCCTCAGACGAGGTGTGCAAAACACACACACGTGAACGTAACTGCAAATTATTCCCCTCTTTTTTTTTCTTTCCAGAGATCTAATTGTCAAAAGCTCACATCTAAAAAAAAAAAAAAAAACCTGCAGTGCTCGATGCTTCAGAGCTGAATGCTGTTAATTTGTAGAAAGCTCCACTGATTACCCACTGCAGGCAGCTGCCGTTCTCTCTGTGACACTAGGCTTTGTTTGACAACTCCAATCTTTTTCTGTTTCAACATTTAAATAAAAAAAAAAAAAAAAGGAGGGTCGCACATTTCAAACCTGCCTGAAGTCGTTCATCATCATCACCACAACAACAACGGGGGGGAGGAAGAGGAAGAGGAAGAGGAGGGGAGGTGGCGTAGTAGCTGGTGTGTGCAGCCACGGTGTATTAGCAGCCAGGAGATAGTTAGAGGTCATCTCTATTTCATAACAATGATTAGCTCCTTCCATCTGCCGCTCGCTGCATTTCCCCCCCTTTCCTTGATTGCAGTGTTCTCTATATCCAGGAAATTAGTTCATTTATGCTCCACAACCCTGCTGTCACCGAGGCACAAACAGGTGCAGCAGACGGAGCGACGCCACACAGGGAGCAAGACGCTCGTGGAAAAAAAAAAAAAAAAAAGAGGGGAAACAGCAGAGAGATGGAGATAGGAGCGTGATCGACAGCAATAATCACGCCGCCAGGACAATGGCGGCTGATTAATACAAGTACTGGGGGGAAGAAGAAGAAATTGTGTAATATTTTTTGCTAGCATGAAGCATGAAGTGATTCAAAAGTCCAAAAATATTCCTCGTATCGTTCCTACCTCGCTCTCTCGCCCTTTTTTTTTTTTTTTAGCTGCAATCACAGTGGTTTTGATGCAGTCTGCTCAGCGAAGCTTTTTAGCTATAGGGTTGCAGTAAACAAAGACGTGCTGCTGCTCCTCCCTATAGCAGCGGGTTTCTGTGTGTGTGTGTGACCGCGGCGTGTCGTAGGATTTACACGCGACATGGCATGAATGTGTGCGTGCATCAAGTCATGTTTGCACTTGATATGAGCACATGTGGTGTGTCAGCTACGGGGGGGGGGAGGCACTGTGAGGGGGGCCTGAAGGGTTCAGATTTGTTGGAAGAGCTGCGTGTGGAAATATATATATATATATGTGTATGTGTGTGTGTGTGTGTGTGTGTGTGTGTGTGTGTGTGCTGGCCACCAGTGCTGCAGGGAGGGCCCAGTGATCAGCAGCTGAGCCTGTGTCCCGCTGGGAGCCATCACTGCAGAATGGAGCAGGTGTCTGCAGGCTCATGCACAGACAAACACACACCATCCATACACACTGTCACACAAACACTGTAAAGCTACTCCCTACATTTTTTTTTTCCCCCTCGCTGTCCTCCATGTTTAATTTTTTTTGTTGCTCCCGTGCAACATGCCAGTTCAACCCTCTTGCGTCACAAATTACCACTATTAGCTAATTGATCGCGACTCATTCCTCGGGACAACCGACGGGCTCACCTCCGCTGCACCGACGCCCAGCCAGAGGTCACCCCCCCGTCGTCGCGACACGCCGATCGCGTCACTTCAGGGAACTAATTATTATCGAGGCGGGCAAAGGAGCAGCGGCGATGTAAACAAAAGGGTCACACCCACCGCCGCAACGCCAGAGCGCAAGATTTGAACCAGCAATTATTCCCACACTGACTGACGGGCCCTCTAATACACAGATTACAGCAACTAAACCGTCGTCATTATTACAGTCTGTGGATTACACACACTCTGCTCTCTGCCTACATTTGAACAGTTCAATAAGGTTGAATGAAATAATCTCGCTTCCTGCTGCTCATTTTTCTTCTTTAATTCCAAAAAAAGAGAGAAAAATCCCTGGGCTGCTGCTCTTTTGCTTGCTAATACAGAGCATTTAATTTCAGGGACAAATTTGTTGCCTCTCTTGGACAATGTTTTCACATCCAGTTGCAGTTATTTCATTTGGCTTAAGAGGATAAATACGGAGGGGAATAATGGAACCGACAAGACTGCGGAGAACGTGGTATTGTGTTGTCAAATTTGGTGTGTGTGTGTGTGTGTTTTTCTTTTTTTTTATTATGTGCGAGCAATTAATAGAGAGAAATAGAAACAGCAACTATTTGACAGCCCAATTCAGAGGATAACAGCTAATTCGCTCGACATGTTGTTCCCTTTAAAAGGAGCAGTTAGAGGTGCACGCGTTGGATCATTCAGGTTTGCTGAATTAATTATAAAACCGACAGCGATATCAAAATGCACCGCGTGGATATGTCGGCTTTACAAACCTCCACAAAGGAGGTATTAGCCGGCGCGAGCCTCTCGCTGACCCGTCTGTGATAATCTCACTCGGATGGCTTCAGCTCTCCTCCACAAAAGATTTCAGACCACAAACACAATCTTGTAAAGGACATTAAATCATCCCTTCCTCAAAAACAGACGCCCATTTCATAGGTGAGCACTCCTGAACCAGACAATGCGTTTTGTTTTTTTGTTTAAGAGCAGCGATGTGAGGAAACGTTCCTCCTCCTCGTTGGCAACTCAGCGCCTGTTGGTGCAGAGCTGACAAACGCTGCCGATACTTGAGTGATTGTCTGCGTCTGGGATCCTGGCATGTTGATGAACAACACCAGTTTTTTTTTTTTAACCCCTCCCCTCCTCTCAGAATTGATAGTTTCAAAGCCGATGCGTTTTTATCGATTGGCTAATTGCCGGGGATGAGGCAAAGTATCTGCTGTCACCATGAATAAATGATGTACGGCTGACTCGTGCATTAGTGCAGGAGGCAAGAGTGACCACTGGAGCTACAGC